CACAGTGGTAGACATAGCCCCCGACAAAACAAAGGGCGCACGGTGCGATTGCCTAGCATTGAGTTATGATGAGGCGCCAACAATATAAGTGCTATAAACAATTATTCATAAATATATTGGCAGATTTTCATAACCGAATATTGCCGAGCAAGAGTAGATTTTCAAACATTGGGCAACAATTTCAATGTATGAACGTATAGTTATTCTAAAAATGAGAATTTGCAGTTTGGTGTGCAGGTACAAGTTCACAAAGTCATTAGAGAAGTTAAGCTACACATTCAAATGCAAACCGTGAACCTGAACGCGTAACCATGATGTGCCGATCATACACCTTGCATTGATGTACCGATCACAGACATTGATGTAACATAAATTGAGATGTTCGCGTTACTTTTGCACTGAACGAAATAACACATCAGCGCGGCAAGAAGATAAAAATATCTAGTTTGTAGTTTCTCAATAAATGGCCACTGTACGTCTGTACAAAAACAACAACAACAATGACTTATAGTAATTTGTATACTTTTTATAAATGATTACAGCGAGCAAGGTGCCCAAATTAAGCTACATTATATATTTCTAGTTTAAAATTTACATTTTTGGAGACACACAACCATTAGATGGCATTATAAAAACAAAAATATAGTCCAATTATTGTAATTACATTAGCATCACCAGTGGTTGGATTTTGGTAAGTACATGAATGAAAAAGTGTATGTATGGACCAACTCTGAGACATGATTTGATGTGATTAAGGTGCATTTTCTTTAAAAACGGAATTTGACCTTTTTGACCTGCCTCCATCTGTCAAAATCAGAATGACATTTTTGACATTTTCTATAGATGGTGTCTTCAACAGGTGAGATCTTTTGATTTTCGTGGAGAGTTTTGATTCAAACTTTTTTGACTGACAGAGGACATACTGGGGTATGATGTAATGATAGCAAAACATATCCACAAATCTTAGTTTTCTCTGGAAGACAGATCGTTTGTATGGGAATACGCATGTTATAACAATTAGTTGGGTTAACCCTAATTATTTATAACATTTCAACGGAGGGCGCCATATTGTAGAAACCAGGATGTAAATATCACGTGACTTCAAATCTCCCAACCTATGTGAAGTGCAACTTGTTTGTGACAGCCTATGCGAGCGGGAACCATCCAATGCGAGTTTGAACTCAATGCGTGTGAAAAATTTAAAATTGACACGTTCGTTCGAAATTTACTTTGATCCATGTGTAATTCCTTCAGTATTCTAATCTATGCAACTTATAACACAATCCATGTGACATTTCATTGCTTTTGGATTTTTGGAAAGTGATTGGAGTTAGTGCATAGTCTTTGTGTGACACTTGATACAACCAGTGCGTGTGTGAATGAAAATAGGTTATGTAACCCCCCTATCACACCAAACTAGTTCTTACCCGTTCTTGCCAGTCCTACGAAAACGTCAATCTGGCTGTGGTCGGGAAATATGTCTGAAATAATTAGCTTCTTCGTCCTTAAACAGTCTTCAATACGTCCATCTCGTTCGCAGTTCGTTCAGGTCGCACCACGTCGGTGTGCAACGTCGTAGAACGCGTCCCTTAGTCTAGAAGGTCAACATGACCTGATTACAGAACGGCATGGTCGCCATCGAACTTTGAATCGATTCAAAATTCTAAAATCACATTCCCGTCTGAGAACGTTCATAAAGTTCGTAAATAGACCTTAGAAAGTTGCAGCTACGTTCATTCCATTCGCACACAGTTTCAAATCAGTTTTGAAGAACGCAGTGGCAACTTGTTTGGTGTGATAGCTATATTTTTGCTAACTCGTTCTTAAGCAGTGTTAAATACGTTCTTAATCAGTTTAAACCCGTTTGCAATTAGTTCTACCTCGTTCTCAACACGTCCTCAGACAGTTCAACTCGTTGTTAAAACGTCCCTAGTAGGATCGAAGTACGACGGTTCCGTTCGTAGTACGTCCAGCTCGTCGTTAGTACGTTATCACTCGTTCTAATTGTAGAACGTGACGACCACGAGAAGATTTTGAGCATTGTCTAAGTTCTGGAGGACCTACCCGTTCGAGTACGTTCGATGTAGTTTGTAAATAGATCCCAAACGGTTCTTAGTAGGACCAGTCCGTTCGTACACAGTTGAAGCCCGTTTTCGAGAACGTAGTGAGAACTAGTTTGGTGTGATAATAGGGTTAGGGAACTATTGTATTCTATGGGCAAATATGTCATTGACTGAGGATTCGAAAAGCTACATTGCTATTGGAAAAGGGGTGTATCAAAAGGTGTCCATCCTACGTGTACATCTACATTTTACGTGTAGATGAGTGATTCCACGTCGCTCATTACGTGATTGATTTTAGCTACGTTCTAGGATGGCCCAGGAGCCAATATTTGATACAGATAATCTTGCCATGACACTTAGACACTATGGAATTTATTTTGTATCAAAATTGGACATTACATGATATATGGGAAAAATCGATTGATGATATATGATGCGATACTCGAACTATATGATTCGAAACTCGCATCATACTATATGCGAAATACGCATCATTAAAGTGCTGATATACAATAATAAAGGGTGCGTTTTCAAACTAAACAGAGTGCTCCTACCAAAACGAATTTGCCTACATACCCCTGAGACTCTTATCTGATGGATAGAATGCAAAAATAAAACAGTTTTGCTATTATAGGTAAAAGTTCTCCTAAAATTTCGAAGTGATTTTACCTGTTAATTCTGTCCATGGTCCGCCATTTTTACGGAAGTTACACTGAAACGCAAACTCCATGAAACAAAACGAAATCACTAGAAAAAAACATGGCACACATTGTGCGCATGTGCAGCAAGGTTTAAACCAATCAGATCATTTGATTATTTTGCGCACATGAATTATTTGCTTTTGAGCACTTACAAGCTTACCACAATAAACAAACCTGGCAGAGACTACCCTTAGCCTACTTCATTTTGGCGAAATTTCAGTTCAAACTCGTGACAAATGCATTATGCATACGCTGGTGTGAAGCCTTGGAGACACTCATTCTGGTAAATATGATTTATGGTGTATACTTTTCTGCAGTTTGTGGGAGTTTGGGACATTAAATGTTAAAATTCAAGAAAATATGCCAATTAAACGACTTATCAATATATACCAGCACTGTATATGCCATTTTCAATCCATGTTATACCAACAGCTAATTTTCTTACCCTACTATCACACCAAACTAGTTCTCACTACGTTCTCGAAAACGGGCTTTAACTGTGTACGAACGGACTGGACGTACTAAGAATCGTTTGGGATCTATTTACAAACTTCATCGAACGTACTCGAACGGGTAGGTCCTCGAGAACTTAGACAATGCTCAAAATGTACTCGGGGTCGTCACGTTCTACAATTAGAACGAGTGACAACGTACTAACGACGAGCTGGACGTTCTGTAATCAGGTCATGTTGACCTTCTAGACTAAGGGACGCGTTCTACGACGTTGCACACCGACGTGGTGCGACCTGAACGAACTGCGAACGAGATGGACGTATTGAAGACTGTTTAAGAACGAAGAAGCTAATTATTTCAGACATATTTCCCGACCACAGCCAGATTGAGCCCGTTTTACGACGTTTTCGTAGGACTGGCAAGAACGGGTAAGAACTAGTTTGGTGTGATAGGGGGGTTAACAATATGAACTTCATTATTGTTTTCGAATAGCATGTTAGTTTGTTAGCTATGTTGCGTATCAATTTGACTGGGGTATAACGGACAAGGTACAACAACGTCATAACAAATTCTAATTCAATTGACTATTTTACGGGAACATGGGGCAAAACGGCTCTCTGAGGCAAAATGGTCCATCGCAATATCTTTTGAGCTTTAAAAAGATGGTTCTTCAAAGTCACATAGTTGAATTTTGAAATTTCCGCCACCTTCTCGACCACCCTTTTTAATCTAGCAGCGTCTCGCCTTACGTAAGAGGTAATTCTACCGTTCACTGTTTTGCAAATAACCCCTCCCAAGAGAATCTCGAAAAAATCTTATTTTAAAATCCATGTAATAGAGGATGGGCCATTTTGCCCCACGTCTGGACCGTTTCCCCCATTCTCAACATTATTTTTGACCACTGAAAATCACATAAGATATAGTCCTAGACAAGTATAAAACAATCGAATAATATATTTAATTTTAAGGGCTGTTTTACCCCATGTTCCCCAAGTGTTCAATTTTCAGACCGAAACATTGCTCCAAAATTGTGAAATGATACATATGAACATCGCGGATGGATAGTCAAAACCCCAGCAATATGTCTGTTTACCCCTAGTTTCTCTAAAGAATGTGGGTAGGTGATCCGATATCTGCTATTATATGAATTAGACATAACGGATATGCTAATTAATCATTTACAGCTCTTGGGTTTCGCATCGCTTTTCAGAGGAATCTCTCTCCAGAAATTACATAAAATGTTATTTGAATCATACAAGTAACGAAACATATATGTTTTGCGGTGTACTATATTCAAGGTCTGCTACAGATTCGCAGGTTTTTATAGATTTTATGGATGAGACATTTTGAACTGCAGACAATATATCATTGCACAAATAGACAGTGAGTTGAAATAATTTTTCGTATTCTGTTATTATAGTAAAATGAAACATAAAGTACGCAACCATCGTCTTTTGAATTATGCGTTTGTTCAAATAATTTCTAGTTTAATAGTTCCATTGCGGAGATAAATACCCGTGAATGCGTATCGGTGTGCATGAGCAGTTCCCTATTTATACATTCAGGTTCATTTAGATTATATATATTAAGGTGTCTGCATATGAGAATGACATATAGAGAGTTAATGCATTTGCGTTACGGGGACATCAATATCACTTAATGAGTTTTACGATATAGATTTATTGCTTACAGTGTAATCTTAGAGCAATTTAGGGATAATACTCTTCAGTATTTGTAAGTTACGACTCCACTGTTTATCACTTAAAAATGAAGCACCCTGAGAAAAGGAACGATTTAATGATGATAACGATAATCGAATAATACGATCGTTCGTGTTTGTTTCAGGTGTGTGACTGGAGTAGCTAGCTAGTGGCTGATAATACACAATGGCGTTTGAGACTACCATGACACCAAAGGCAATGGTTTACACTGGGAACAATAGCATGGATTATAATTCAACCGATGCGCCAAATACAGCGGATGGATCATGGACTGAAACAGAAAACTACATAATAATGGCTATGCTGATTGTGCTGAGCATTATTGGAACCGTTGGCAACGCACTCGTCATGTTTGTGTTTTCGAAAAAGCGTGAAAAGGTATCATCCACGTATTTTATTATGACGCTCTCTTTCACGGACTTTGTCACGTGTGTCGTCATCATGCCAATGACCGTGTACCTTACACACGTTAACCACAGGACAAGTGTAGACTTTTTGTGTAAGATATACCAGTTCCTTATAACGTCAAATGTTCCCTACTCGGCGTTCATCATGGCTGCAATTGCCGTCGATCGATACCTTTGCATCTGTCATCCATTCGCCAGAGTCATGACAAATTTTAGGGCGAAGATCGTAATTGCGTGTCTCACTTTATGCGGGATAGCGGTGGGAATTCTACCGTGTCTCAGCACAGGCATTTACGGTCAAAAGCAAAATCACACATCCGTGCCAGTTAATGTATCCCTCGATGAAAATGGCACACAGTCAGGAAATAGCAGCATAATCACGACTTATCGAAACGTTACTGTAACTTATATTGTGTATGAGGGGCAGTGCAGCCCAAACAATTTCTACATTAGTAACGAAGCGCGGGGAACATACAAGACCACGTACACCACTTTGTTTCTCCTGTCGTTTCTCATTGTCGCCGTGCTCTATCTTATGATATACATATTTATCATGAGACATCGGATGAAAAAACGACGGAATAAGAAACTTCAGAGCTATGTAGGAATGGAGAAGGTCCCCGAGGCAATGCCTTTAAAGAAGAAGCACAAAACACGGAAGATTTCTGAAGCAGCCGATGTCACGTCGAGTCCTATGAATGGCTCTGATCGATTGAATGAAAAGGATACGACACGATTAACTGTTCCCTGCACATACGCCGACCCTGAGAGTACTCAGATTACAGAAATCCCCGATAGTGGATACGTAGAGAATGGCAACCATGATACACCACAATCAAAAACGTCACATCACAGAACACCCAAGATATCTGGCAAACTTTTAGACAAGAACACGATGGCGAACATTAGACTCGCAGCGATGCTTTTCGTTGTAATGATAGCATTTCTCATAACGTATCTGCCAGCTCTACTTATGAGCCTCGCGCTTGTCAAACTGAACAGAATTGTTTTCTATATATATTTTAGTCACAATGTCGTCAACCCGGTTATATATTGCTATATGAACGAACGTTTTAGGCTTGACTTGAAAAGCATTCTGCAATGTGAATTCCGTAGATTAGGATAGTGAACAAAAACAAAACGATGTTAAAGAGTATTTGTATTTGTGATATTTGTACTGTACATATGATGGGTGTCAATGATTAACATACAATTAATTTACTTTCAGATTCTCCAAAAGTATGTAATTATCAATGAGTCTTTTTAACGCTTGTGTTTGGGATTTGTTTCGCACTGATAATCAATTTGTAAATGATCATAAGGGCTCAATCAGTTGAAGATCGAGAGACAATATTTTGTCGATTCAAAAAGAAAACAATTTACAGTTTGTCCGAAATGTCATTGACTACCACCTTATATCTGTAGAATTGTAATCGTTACAAGGATACTGGCGTAACTTACCCCCGTTATGTACGCTTACAAATTACCTTATTGGATTATCGTCTGAGACCAGTAATTTTAAAATTCAACAAAGTATTAACTGATATGGGAAACGCTTTTGACGTAATTAAGAATGGCTTGTGTGAAAATAACCATGCACTTACCCTTAATAACTTAACATCGAGTGATAGCAAGTATGAATATTTTACTCCAATAAGCCACTTCGTCTAAAAATCGCGATCCACTTATTTTAAAGTAGGTTAAAAGCCGCTGATTGACCTCTTAATTGAAATAAACCTAATTTGCTTATTTATGACTGTCTAATGTCCGATGTGCTGGGTGACCATAAAGTAAGTACACCTTTTAGAATATGCCTAAAGTAAGATGATAAGTGCTCTGACTATTGTAAACATTAATGAATCGAACTCGAATGATGATCTGATAATTACACAAAACAAATTTAAATTCAATATTCTGTGTTAACCATGACAACCCGTGGCATGGGTATCTGGTGCATTAAAAAAAGAAAATTTATATTGTGATGTGTTACATTTAATGCGTTCTTGTATATTATTATTTTCCTAGATTTTGATTTTAAGGTGGTCAATAGATTAGCCAATATGTTAAACTCATTTTTGGCGACGTTTAATCCAGAGTTCAAAGTTTGTTGATCACACTGCATCCAACACAAAAGCAATTGGATTTCAGTCCTGGTCCGGGTAACCCTATCACGAATTTTCATGCATGGTTACTATATAACCATGTATGTATGTGTGTATATCAATAAGCATTCGGTGAGAAAATGAGCCAGATTCGTAAATATTTTCAATGGAGCACCTTTCATCTAATTTATTGATCATCTGTAAGAAAATATCATGTTGTTCCATGGTGCATTTGTGTATATGTTACATAATACTACTAATAGTGAAAGAGATGGAATGAGAACCATTAAAAGAGGCGAAACTGTCTTTATGAATATTACGTGTACCTGTAGTCTCCATTGAAGTAAAATAAACTTAAAATGCCGACTTGGCACAACAATTGAATTCATCTTGAGGGTGTTGAACTAATTTGACCAAGAAAGCCTTCACACCGTTTCCATCGTGATATTTCAATTACAACCATCCCTATTCATCATGCTATTAATTATCAATCATTAATCATGACGTGGGTCATACACCAGGGTCATACATAAGTGACATATATGACAGAAGGATGGTGTACGTATTCTTATATGTAATTACTTTTCATGCCTTTAGACTAGTCTCTCACCGCATATGGCAATTTACTTATCTAATAGTTATAATGGTACGTTGATATCATGAATAGATGCTTATTACGAATAACAATGCCTAGATGTATTTTTGGATGTCTGCCAAATTCTTTGCTTTCGATACAATCAAGAATGACACATATGGCATTTAATATGCATGCTCGAATACAAAATAGTTGCCATTTTCATCACTGGACGGGATGGCGTAGCGTCAAACACGCATAAAACTCAAAATTTAGAGAAAAGATTTTTTGAAAACGGGTTCATGTTATTAAATATTGGATAAAAATGGCCAATAATATACATATTATTCGTCCATATTAGTCAGAATTTCGTATTTTAAAACACCCCGGAACGCTTCAATTGCAATCTCTCCCCAAACCCCGCCCAAAGCCCGTTCGCTTTGGTCACTCGTGGCGTGCACTCACAGACTACCCACGCTTCGCTACTGGGATTATTTGATAAATCAATTAAACATGGAGGGCAGATCTAGAGTAAAGGAACAATCTCTATAACGAAATGAAGGTCATCACAATCTCGTTCTAACTATTTATAAAGGTTACATTTACATATACGTATATCAAACTACAAACAACTCGTTGCTCGCAGTATCCTCAACCCTGTTTTAGTATCACAAAAATATAATTTTAAGATACGAGTGTGCACTTTTTTCATAAAAAGATTCGAATACAATATAATGTATCTAATTTAGTAGGCTATACGTATACCAATAGGCCTGTGCATTTAAGAATTTTTTTTCATTTTTCCCCAGACTCCTTTATTCTTTTACTTTGGTCGTGATTTCAATTATTAAAGTGGATATGACATATCACACAACTAATATATGTACCAATTACGACCTTGACGGCCTCCCCTTACACATATCCCCGTGATATTTGTGAACATGCGCATGCCTTCACTTCTAATTATTGCATATTCTTTAACATGGAGCGTGCTGCTTTGATGCATGTTCTTTTGAACCATTCCTATATTTTTGGTGGTCATAAATCATCAAAACTCTTCCCATCCATCATACGTGACTAGAAGCTATACTTTCCATTAAGGACAAATTTCAAACATGGCAAAGTGCATCTCAATCATATTTTAGAAAATGTGAAAAGGTGAAAAGGACTTCTGTCCTCTGTAACTCAAAATATGCAAATTCTAGCCGGCTGTTAGTTATTTGCATATCTTCACGGCGTTTGCACTAAACTGTCCGCGACTAGTCACAAATTCCATATAGTTCCACTAAAATAACATGTACATCACCTTATGTTCAATTAATCTTATAGAACTTTGGTCAAACTGCAAAAACTCAGAAATCTTTGGCGTTCGAAATCGCACTTAATGGACAGAATATAATCGAAGCATACGATTCTTGTAGACAGACAAACAAATACATGTGTTATATTTTCTTGGATATCTTAACAGGTAGGCGCGTAGCCGGGGGGCGAACCTGGCCCATTCAATCCACCTACGTTCTCTATAAATATAGTACTTAATTAGAAACGTGTTATCAATCCTCTCGCAGTTAAAAATAAAATAGAAGTAAGTTTTATCAATGATGACAAATTGCAAATCAACAAAAAGCATTGTCTTGTTAAATTCCATTTATAAACGTTCATTTTTCTTCACAAGCACTGGCATTTTGAATTAAGGCTTAATAGCTAAAGCTTTTAGGAAGACATGATTCCATGAAAAGTCATTATCATTGTGTAAATAAACGTTCAATCATGTACCAGATAATACTCATTTAAATCGAAATAGCTAAGTATTATGTATCCATTCTGATTTATCAGAGTCCCTCTTTACCTAACGCTTTTGAGGAACTATTCCAAAAGGATAGTAAAGGCTGTGGATCCCACAATGTTATGTATCTGTTATTTTTCTACCTTACAAGGATCTTGCAATTGAATAAAGTTGGATCGGCCATTTAGAATAAAATGAAATTATCATGGCATATGATATGCCTCTGTTTTTTAATAATAGTCAGGATTAGTTTATGTGACGAATAACAATGACTAGATTTATAAGTCAATAATACAATGTTAGATCAGCTGATGGATGTACACAATTATATTCATTGTGTTTAAGGTTATATTACTTAGATGAAAAATAGGGAATTAATTTTTGCATTCGAACCAAAGTTTGTTAAACGAATTACACATACGAGAACTGCATGTATTGCATCTGTAGATTTATCCTATTCCAAGTATAGTTTTAGGGAGATAAGTTGGTAAGATATATCTCGTATCATGATTTTGAGGCTCCCATGTCCAGAACCTCCCGCTATATCTCCAGCTCCGGGGCATATCTCCCCGCTTTGAAAAAAAGTTGAAAAAATTGAAAAAATGTGAAAAAATAGAAAAAATGGAAAAAAACTCCACCGGGTATAGGATAAAGCAGTTATGTACGGTCAGTTTGGATATGGGGCTTATCCCTCATGAGATATGCACATCTACCTTCGGCCCCTACGTTCCCTCAGGTAGTTATGCATATATCCCTCTTGATAAACACCATATCCAAAACCTTCCACTACGTAACACATGTAAATATATCACATAATGTTATAATCGTTGATCCTGCTTCGTTGGATAATTTAAATAAAAAAGTTCTCTCTTGAGTATAGTACTGTGTCATAAATGACGTCATTTTTTAATAAGCCTGTGAATAGTTATATCTGAATAAACCGTCATGCTTTGTAACATGAAAAGTTGTACTGTCCGTAAGTGAGCATGTCAAAACACTCGTCAAAGAAATGTTTCAAAAGTTCATTATAGTTCGGAGGGATTGGCTCGGATCGGATGCAAAATAGCCAGACCTTTGAAACTTGCTTGATTTTTTTTATTTAACCTTAACAAAAATTTTATTTTGCTGGTCATTTTGTAATCAATAGCAATAACTCACTACTCATTACTAATTATAAGTACGCAACTTTTCACCATTAAAACAAACTGAACTATCGTGTAAATGATGAATGTGAAACTATATGGTCTTGCTATCTTGTATTCAGTCTGCTAACTATAGCTAAATATGAATTGATTTGTATGAGGGCTCTAATGGCTTCTATTTTACCTGCGTATATTATATTTAATCCACGTCGCTAGATGATCAATTGTGTGTGCTACATGAACGCAGTGCCTTATTACCACCCCCACCACCAAACAAGCTCTTTATACATTCTCTGGTGACCACCCCGTTCTGCATTTAGACAGAGTGTTAACCCCCCTATCACACCAAACTAGTTTGCAACCGTTCTTTCCAGTCCTATGAAAAAGCCGTAAAACGGGCGCTGTAGTCGTGAAATATGTCTAAAATAATTAGCTACTTCGTTTATAAACAGTCTTCAATACGTCCATCTCATTCGCAGTTCGTTCAGATCGCACCATGTCGGTGTGCACACGTATTGAATCGATATCCGATTGCACAGCGTCGTTTAACGCGTCTCTAGTAGAGTTGAAGTACGGCAGTTACGTTCCTGGTCTAGTAGGTCATCTCGTTTGAAGTACGTTGTCAGGCGATCTGATAACAGAACGCCCATGTCGCTTTCGAATTTTGAATTGATTCAAAATTCTCAACCACGAAGTTCGTAAATATAGACCGTAGAACTTTGTAGCTACGTTCATCCAGTTCGCACAATGTTTAAGAACGCAGTGACAACTTGTTTGGTGTGATAGATATTTTTGTTAATTCATTCTTAATAAGCTACAAACGGTGTACTCACGACTTCAATTTACGCCTGACTACACAACGTCGTAATACGCCCCTAGTAGGATTGAAATATGACAGTTTAGTTCGTAGTGTGTCACCAATGCGTCCAGGTCGTCTTAAGTACGTTGTCACTCGTTCTGATTGCAGAACGTGACGTCACCAGAAAATGTTGAGCATGCTCTAAGTTCTAGATGTCCTACACGTTCGGGTTGTTTGATAAAGTTTGTAAACAGACCCCAAACGGTTCTTAGTAGGTCAAATCCGTTCGTGCACAGTTTAAGCCCGTTTTCGAGAACGTAGTGAGAACTAGTTTGGTGTTATAGTAGGTAGTTCTCACTACGTTCTGGAAAACTGGCTTCAACTGTGTACGAACGGACTGGACGTACTTAGGACCGTTTGGGGTCTATTTACAAACTTCATCGAACGTACTCGAACGGGTAGATCCTCTAGAACTTAGAACATACTCAGAATATTCTCGTGGTCGTCACGTTCTACAATTAGAACGAGTGACAACGTACTAACGACGAGCT